CTACATCCAAGCACCTTGCAACTGTCGGATAAAACGACATGCTGATTAATAAATCATACACTAAAGAATTAAAATAATGTTAAATATTTTGTTTTACCACCCTTTCCGCCAGTGCTACAGTGCAATGGACACAGAAACTGTGTTTTAAAACACATTTTGCCTCCTTACTTGCACATAAACGATAGAAACCTACCTGTTTGGAGACCTTGAGGCAGTGCTATGAAAACATGGATCCTCCCTGTGCCCTTCAGACTCTCATCGACTCAAACTCACCTTGAATGAACACATGCACTCCCACCCTGCTGGCAGACAGGAGATCAACCTTTGAAAGCAGGGGTGGAGGGTCCAGCTTCAGCAGGATTTACAAACAGGTGCTTCGTTAAGATGAACCGAGTGTTGTGGATTTTTTTTCTTTCTTTTACCAAATAAAATGTAGCACCATTGCTGCACCAGTACAATGGATAGAATTGTGTCATCAGGTCAATCTGATAGGTTGCATATTAAGGGGAGATATGAACGTGGCCTTCCAAAGTGGAGAGAAAATCGAAAGAAAAGGAGTAGGTTTAATTAGCAAAAAGGTTAAAAAAAAAAAAAAAAAAGGAAGATATGGGTGCTGCAGGGAAGAAAGTCGTTTTGCTTTGGAAGCTCCCTGCTACTTATTTATTAATAAAGAAATAAATCTTTTCTCATGCTTTGTCGGTTCTAATCCAAAAAACCACCAAACATTTTTGGTAGGAAATAAATTGGCTACTTAAAGGTGAAAACTTCGGAAAACTTCTGTCAAGGAATAAAAACATTCCTGGAATTCTTTGCATATTACCATTACTGCTAATTACTGGCACTAGTAAACCCCAGGTATTTGTTTTATTTCCCTTTGGGATTAATAAAGTACTCTTGAAATGAATTGTAATCTATAGCAACAATGCAATACTTTTTAAAATCTGGAAAGTTACATCTCACCTCTGCTTCTATTAAACTCTAAGCCTTGTTCTAAAAAGGTTAATAATGGAAAATAAATGTTATGTGAACTATGTGATAGTAAAAAATAAAGCTAATGTTAGAATTGAACGACTGTCTGTGTAATGTTTTACAAATGTATTGCATAAATAAAGTTAACACAGGAATCCTAGCAAAGATTTTACTCCCCTTTACTTCTTACTTCACTACCTTTACAACATTTTTACTAACAATACAAAATAAAAGAATATGTCTTAATTAAATATGTCTTAATTAAGACCTATCCATGTTAGCTTAACAAGTTTTTATGTATTTTTAAATGTATTTATTACTGTTTTCAAGGCTGCAATTTAAAATATGAATTTGTCTAGAGCTGTTCTAAATGAAATTTATTTTTGTTTACACTTGTGTATACAAAATGACAAAATAAATCTAAGTCTAACACAATGCATTGTGCACAGCTGCATGGACAGCAGTCTAGCAACATCAGCTCAGGTCCTGCCATATATAATTCTTATACAGATTTTATAGTTCAAATAAGAATCAATGAAAAAGTCAGAATATATTGTAGGGGTGACGAAAAATTTACGACTCAGTCAAATTCAGTTTGTTACCTTTTATTACCTTTCAACAGCCTTCATTTGAGGTCATTCAATTTACTACCTTTGATTACCTCATAGATAAAATGTAATAATGCTCAAATAAATCATGGTGAAATTCTTCATTTGAATTCAGATAAACATTTATAAAGCATGCATTATCATTTAAGTGTGTATTTAACTTAATCATATTTATCGTTGCTCGACTTAGTTGGTTCTGCTGGCTAATAATCATGTATATTTACATTAATCAACTTAATAATTAATCATAGTCCTATTTTGCATCACATTATGCTTTTTCAACATCAGTTTTACCCTAGAGTCAGAGGATGTGATACTCCTATGGACCATGGGATTTGTTTTTGTGCAGATGATCCAATCACCTCGTTAAAGGCCTCTTTAACGAGCTGAAGTGACAGTGTGTAGTATTTCACAAGAGGCTGTAGAAGTGGAAATGACTGGAAAACGTCGATATTTACGCAACAGGTTAAATATCGCTGTTTAACGACACATTTAAATTATTTATTTATACAAAAAATATCTGTTAGTGGCACTGAATATGAAACGAATCTTACAGAAATTTTCGAAAAATTAGTAAATTCCTGTAGGGCTATGTAGAATATGATCACCATGTTTATTCTTGCTTGTTTTTATAATCTCTCAGTTTGAAATTTTCCAATATTGGACCTAATATCTGTATACAGTCAGGCATTTTATTGTGGATTCACCCGCCATTTTTCTAATAAAACCTTTTGGTTTAATATCAATGTGCCGTAAAGAATTAAAAGCTTTAAAGTTCTGGACAAAAAATCCAAGTTATTTCTTCACCAAAAACACCTACGAAGGATTTTTAAGGATTAGAAAAGTTTCAACATGAAAATGTCTTTTATGTATCCTGATATCCCAAAAAAATTATTATTTTCATGAATTTCTTCGAATTCATTTTGTGGGATTAAAGATGTTGATCTTGTTTAAAGTGATTAAATCTAGCTTGTTATCTTAAGGTAAGGAAATCTTTTTTGTGTACAAATTTGTTATTTTAAACAATAATAATTAAACACTAATTCTTCATGAACAGATGTATTGTCATAGGATTTTGAGAAAACAACATGATCAAAATGTCTCCTTTCAGATCATAGATACATCATCCTATATTTATAGATGATTCAAAATTGAGCTTTCTTTGATACTGTTTAATTTCCTCATAATGTAAACTCTTGAGCGACAATATTAACGTATCAATTTTAACCCAAAGATCAATGCTGCAGATTATCATTGAGCGTCATGATTGAAAGATAATTAATTCTCGACTTGGAGAAAAAGGACATATTAATCAATGGCAGAAGCAAAGCTGGACGGCTTTCTCAGTTCAATTTCAATATAACTGTACAAAGTGCTTTACTGTAGATTTAAATCATAAAGTCAAAACCATCTATTTTGGTAAAACAGAACAAGAAGATCAACTTTTCAGGCTCATACTTTATTAAGGCAGTTTAGGATCCCTGAATTTCTCTAAATGTCTTTGTTAGTAATTTAAAGGAAAACATTCTGTTAAAACACACACAAAAAACTACTAAAACTCTTCTTTTAGTCAGTGTATTTTGGGTCATTTGATTTTATTTTAGAAATGGATATCAAATAAAACAAATAACAAGAGGCTATCCAATTTTTGTTCAAAAATACAAAACCAGTAATTAAAACACAATCTTTGTTTTTCTGTGTCAAAAAGTTTAGGCAAAACGTTTCTTTCCTTTTTTATTTTAATAACCATTAAAACTATTTACTTTAAAACAGACAGAAAAAAGTGTGTGCGGATGTTGTCGCTTCATAAGAGCACCATATTTGAGAGGGTGCTGCAGTATTGCTGCTTTAGCCCCGATTAGAACATCTTTAGGACCTTAATCAGTTGGGATTTTGGACATGGCCAATTAAGGCTCGCCTTTCATAGAAATCTCAGCACAAATTTTACAAGGAAGTTATGGAGCAAGAGGATGCTCTGCAAGAAACGTGATATTTTGCACTAAAAAAATCATGCAATGGTCTGTTTTTGCACTGCACTTCATTAACACAGAGGACCCCAAAGCTCCTCTTGCTAAAATCAGACCTTCACCCATTGACACAAACATTCACATGCTGATGGGGGTGAGCTGCTTTGTAGCCACAGCAGCCCTGGGCATTCACAGTAGCCAGGCTGCCATACAAGGCCGCCGGGCCCTCTGGCCACTCAAAGTAGGCAAGGCGAGGAAGTGTTTTGCCAGAGAGCCTGAGATCATTAGAGCAGAGGGGATGAACCAGCGAGCCAACAGCTGTAGGACAAACGCCTACCTCCTGAGCCATGGGATTGAAAAAAAACTGATTTTTTGCTGTAGAGTCAACAACAAAATGCAGCGAATGTCTACTGACACCACATCCAGGAGAGGCCAATCCTGCAATGTCAAAGACTGGATGCAACCAGCTGAGATCCCTTAGATAGAAAACTTTGAAGCACTGATTGAAAGTGCCTTAAGTTGACGTGTAATGTTTATAGATATAAACTAAATTAATGTTTCTAGCAGTCATTATTTTTCTCTCCATTTTGAGATATATGTATCCTTTTAAATTGTTGGTGCTCTTATGAAATAATTGAAAACATCCTGTGTGGAAAAATGAGAAAATGTGCTTTTTAAGTAACGTAATTTTGTATTAATCGAAACAGAAAATGAAATGCAAATTGTTTTCAAAGTTTCTCTCATCCCTTTTCCCACAGATAAAAGAGACCCACTTTCAATTACAAATTTTCTTTTTTTATTTTGCATCATAAAAAAATAAAATAGCCCATTTTTCTTTTTTTTTTTAACATAATTTCTAAAAGGAACATGGATGACCAAAGGATACACTGACCGTTTTTTGTACGGAGGAAATTTCAAGCTACTGAACAGGTTTGTGATTAGAAAGGGTTTAGTAGAAAATGTGAATCTGCTGATATCCGGCAAGCTTTTGGAGGGAAAGCAAACCAAACCCACTTTTTGCCCTCTGTGAACTCTAAACATACAAAGCAACGTCTTGCTTCCTTTTTCTGCTCTGAACCTGACTGAGTCACATCAGCCTCCGTCAGTCAGAGCTTGACTGCATGTGCCAGCATATTGTACTTCCATGTTGGTGACTCAGCTCATCCGGGTTGTTTCAACATGCTTTTATATGAGCAGCAGAGACAGAGATATGCTTTCCCACCTTTTAATGTAACACCGCAAGAGACTTCAGGGAACAAAGCCAATACAGTGCTGCATACAGAGAAGCCTTCCACTTTTTACCACCTGCTTCAGTTCAATAAATCCTAACATTTCCATTAGCTGCAAAGAAAAAGATTGTTTGGTTTTCTACTAAAAATAATCTGAGAACAATGAAGCCCATATTGGGGTAAAACTTCATCATGGATGTTAAGTTTAAACATGAAATGGGTTTTACCTGGTATAAGCGGCTGTCCGGTCATTCCTATAGGAGGCATCCCCATGTTGTTCATAGCTGCCCAAGGGTTGGGGTCTGACATGGGCATCGTCATTGAGTTGGAGTCCATTGTCATGTTACAGATCCCTTCTGCAAAACAAAAGGAAAAAGAAAATGGGCTGCTGGATGAACAGTACATCAAAAAATAAGCCTGAACCAAAGGAGGCAGTGATTCTCAGCTGGGTCGATACGTACATAAAATAAATTCCAGCAAAACCATGAAATTTTAAACACTATGCCGCCTTTTTGAAATGCTGTCATTTTTTATTTTACTTCCAAGGATCACTACTAGTGAAGGAACATTTACTGTAATCCAGTTACTGTTCTTTCTTGGAGCACCTGTACTATGGCAGGAACTGATGTGCATGGCATTGGTAGAGTCTCTGCTATCCCTTGTCTGGCTGCACGGCCTGTAAACCCTTATTTAATCTCTACATCACAAACTATAGCACCACTGTCACTTTGATGTAACCAAGTCAGCAAGGCTGTGAATAACCGGTGAGTCAGAAGAGCAGGAGAACTTTGGCTTTCTGATGCAAATTAAGGAATCTGATGAAGTTTTAAGTGTTATATTCATAACAGCTCAGGTTTCATTTAAGAATCTTTAAGATGTGGGAATCACCTACCAAGAGATGTATTAATATACAACTTGGTACAGTTTAATGATATATTTTGGAGGACATACAGAAGCAAATAGTGTAAAAATGACTTTGCTAGAATTTAAACATAAGTGGGACTCTGGAGTAAGAATGTTGTGTTTTTAAGGCCATTTTCTAGTCAACAATTGTTCCTTTGTTTGTTCTCTGAGGGGACAGAAGTATGGAGAGATATTTGTGCCATCGGTTTGAGCGCGCAGGAACCAATCCGAGCGCGCAGTGAGACAACACGCGCGCGCGCAAAACCGGTCTGGCGCGCGCTCAACTCTGAAAAACCCTCTCAACACACTGTTCTCGCGCTCAGTTTCATCTCTGCGCGTGCTCGAATCCGTCTCTGCTCGCGCTCGCTCGACCTGCTCTCTCTCCGCGCTCAACACCAGCTGTGCGCTTATGGAGAGATATTTGTGCCATCGGTTTGAGCGCGCAGGAACCAATCCGAGCGCGCAGTGAGACAACACGCGCGCGCGCAAAACCGGTCTGGCGCGCGCTCAACTCTCGCGCTCAGTTTCATCTCTGCGCGTGCTCGAATCCGTCTCTGCTCGCGCTCGCTCGACCTGCTCTCTCTCCGCGCTCAACACCAGCTGTGCGCTCGGCTGTTTCTCCGCTCGCTCGACTCTCTGCGCTCGCAACTTCAGCAATGTATGTAAATGAACCATACCATCAGCCAATCACACTCAGCTTCTTTTCATCCAATGAAAGCATTCCTTCCTTCTTCTTCTTCTTTTCTATCATGGCGGATCGCAAGCAACTTTAAGGTGCATACCGCCACCTACTGTTCATGAGTGTGTAGCAACATTGTTTTACATCTATTAAATTCTATTTTTTAATTTTGCATTCTGAAGATAACTAAATAATGCTTTCCTTAATCTATAAACATCCTTTATATTTCCTTTATTTCCCAATAATCCTTTAAGACTCCATTCTTGGCCTGTCATTTCAACTACTCTTCTCAATTTTTCCCTTTCAGGTTCATATGTTTTACAGTTCATTAATATGTAAGCATTCGTTCCAAATACTACATCCGGTTAGATGAAAAAAAATACATAAATAAATAAAAACACAATCAGGAAAATCCAACAACTCTTACAGTTATTTTGTCAACATTCCTAAGATAGTACTATAAAATATCTTGAATTATCTCAAATAAACTTCAGTAAAACAGTTATTAGATCATTGCCTCATCCATCTCTTTTACCTGCTATTGACATGGATTTAAATTTGATGTTTTAAAAGAAAAATAAGGAGGATATTTCAGGTTCCAGTATGGTTCAACAATATATAGATAAAAAATATTATGGATATGTTAAATTTTTTATGGATGCTTCAAAATATTCCAATATTAGGAATGGTGTTTTGTTTTAGTTTCATAATTTATTTTTAAATCGGGTAAAAGAATCAGTGATGGAATTCAGCCTACAAAGGAGAAATGTTTTGGATCATATTGGCCTTACAATGGATTGAAGAAATCGTTCCATTAAGAAGTTTAGTTTGCTCTGATTTTAGATCAGCGACCGTTATATTAATTTAAACGCAATTATTCAGACAGCAGACCTGATCTGAAATTTAACAATTATTATTTAGAAGACCTTTTACAGATGGACTCTAAATAAGAGGGTTATTCTTTATTATATATATTAAAAAGAATAATTTGATAAACAGGATTTTTCAGTTGGTGGCGGTAATTGTTGTTTGCCAACCTCCATAAAAAACAACAAAAAGAAGAAACACCCGCCACAAAAGCTAAGAGTAAGGCCAATATGATCCAAAACATTATCTATATACTGTTGAACCATACTGGAACCTGAAATATCCTCCTTATTTTTCTTTTAAAACAGCAAATTTAAATCCATGTCAATAGCAGGTAAAAGAGATGGATGAGGCAATGATCTAATAACTGTTTTACTGAAGTTTATTTGAGATAATTCAAGATATTTTATAGTACTATCTTAGGAATGTTGACAAAATAACTGTAAGAGTAGTTTGATTTTCCTGATTGTGTTTTTATTTATTTATTTATTTTTTTTTCATCTAACCGGATGTAGTATTTGGAACGAATGCTTACATATTAATGAACTGTAAAACATATGAACCTGAAAGGGAAAAATTGAGAAGAGTAGTTGAAATGACAGGCCAAGAATGGAGTCTTAAAGGATTATTGGGAAATAAAGGAAATATAAAGGATGTTTATAGATTAAGGAAAGCATTATTTAGTTATCTTCAGAATGCAAAATTAAAAAATAGAATTTAATAGATGTAAAACAATGTTGCTACACACTCATGAACAGTAGGTGGCGGTATGCACCTTGAAGTTGCTTGCGAACCGCCATGATAGAAAAGAAGAAGAAGGAAGGAATGCTTTCATTGGATGAAAAGAAGCTGGGTGTGATTGGCTGATGGTATGGTTCATTTACATACATTGCTGAAGTTGCGAGCGCAGAGAGTCGAGCGAGCGGAGAAACAGCCGAGCGCACAGCTGGTGTTGAGCGCAGAGAGAGAGCAGGAGAGCAAGCGCGAGCAGAGACGGATTCGAGCACGCGCAGAGATGAAACTGAGCGCGAGAACAGTGTGTTGAGAGGGTTTTTCAGAGTTGAGCGCGCGCCAGACCGGTTTTGCGCGCGCGCGTGTTGTCTCACTGCGCGCTCGGATTGGTTCCTGCGCGCTCAAACCGATGGCACAAATATCTCTCCATACAGAAGGGCTACCGTTAGTCTGCAGTCAGTCTCTGAGCACTGATTTCAACAGTACTGTCACAGACATCTATTTATTTTAGCACTGTTTGTTTTGTAGCTTTAGCCGGCTGGCCTCGACACTTTCTGTCTCAGTGACCAGCACTGAGAGCCAACTGGAATTGACCCTGTATCACTTTGGAAAAGCAACAACGATTTTTTTTTAGCCTTCCCTGGCAGAGAAAGGTCTACAAATGGGATTATATTAGTAATATCAACAAGAAAAGGAACACCGATGAGTCTTCCCCTCTGCTTTTCTCTTCGAGGCCATAGAAAATAATGTCTAAAAGGAGATTATTATGGCACTAAGCATAAATCCTGATTGTATCTAGTACTGCTCAGACAGCCTGTTACTAAAATGTTGATAAATCTTCTATTAAGCCCAGCATTATGCACACATCTTGCCAAACCAACAGGCCCAGAGTTTCTGTACTCGAGTGCTGCATATTAAAGCGAATGCACGATAAAAATGCTGCAAGAAGGTCAACATGTACACATCATATGTCAACCGGCAGCTTATTCTTCCCATCTATTTCACAGCTCTAAACGCTCTTTAATTCTCTCATCTGGTGGACCTCTTTCTCTCTGACAGACCTGTAAATTGCTGTGACTGCTGGCCAAGCCCGGCTGCCCTCTTCTACAATGCCAAAGCAAGCACAACTGGTAATGATGGGGAAAGCAGCACTCTGCGCACCCTTTACACAGCACAAGGTCTCAGGCAGAGCGTACTTCGGAGCCAACAGGTATAAATGTATGTGCTTCTGTCTGAACACCAGCCAATATATTGGTATTCTTGGAGTTGAGACACGGCTGGCAATGTGTAATAATGCTGTGTGCCTCTTTGCCTTCCTCTCTGAGTCACTAATTGCAGAGCTGTCTGCCGTTGCTGCCACAGAGAGGTCTGATAAAACCATGCGTGCCTGTGTGTCACTGTGATAATGCTGCTGACGAGGACTTCACAAGCTTGTTAACGAACACAGTCCTATTAACTGGGGACACTTTTACAGGAGTTAAAATGAAGGAGGAGAAGAGCGGTAGGGAGCTGTTTTATAGCGGTTTTATTACAGTTTACAGTACATTAACCAGACTCTCCAGAGAGCTGATGAGTAAACTCAATCTGAGTTGGACAGGTGATGTCTTCTGTTTAGAAGAGTCTTTCAGGGTCCATAAAACCAATAATGATCAGTAACCGTAAATAAAAAAATAAAGAGTTTATAGTAATGTTGTTTATCAGGTTTACAAGAATTTTGGATGGACAAACAAATGGAAGGAATTCATTATATAAAAAAATATAACAGAGCCTACAGATGGATGGACAGACGGATGGCTGCCCAAACAATAGAATGGATTCACAGACAATCAAACTGATATAAACCAATAAATGGAAAGATAAAAGAAATATGAATCGTGGAATGGTGACGAATGCATAGATGAAACTGTGTGTTTGTATTGAAGTGTTTTTCTGCCATGATTGAGTTCAAGTGAGATTAAAAATCTCTTTTTTTTCAGGGTAGTCCAAGCCAAGAAGCAGCAACAATACAAAAAAGTAGAAAAGGGGGAAAATGTTAAGCAATTTAAGAAAAACAAAAACATTTGCCTAAGGAACTTTTAGTTTGAAATTAAAACCAACCACTTCCTGAGCAGAGAAGAATAAAATTAATTTCACCCAATTCAGTCCACGCAAAAGAGAGAAAGAAGCAACAAATGC